GCAAGGTGCTGGCATGTAGTATATTAGATACTATTTTTGTTGTTATTATTTTTGGAGGAGGGGAATTGAAGAAGTGAAGTTATCGGTGAGAGTGTAATTAAAATAATAGGAAGGGTCAGACTGGTAAGGAAGAAAGTTAAACTAGGAGGAATGTTAGAAACTGGAGAATAAGAAGGAATTGAGGGATTAGAAATGTAATGAGGGTGAAAAATGGGTTTAGTGATAGAAAAATGGAAAAGATAAGAGTTTAAGGCCAGCAAGTGAGATCTCAGAGTTTGAGATTCTAGAGATGTAGCACTTTGAGGTAATGATAAGATCCAGCTTTTGGCAGTGGGAGTAGGTTGCTGATATGTCATGGAGACAAATTCAATTTAAATTCCACAAATATTTATGGAGCCCTTACTGTGTGCTAAGTACTGTGCAAGGCATTGGGGAAGGTAAAATTTGAGCAAAACATCATTGGATTAGAGGGGGTCAAGAATGAGCTATTGGCAATTCACCCGAATGATGAAACTACCCATGACAATAGCAAGAGCTGAGATAACAAAGAAAACTGTGAAACTTTTAAGAAAAAAATGCTTCAGTGGATTGACTTGTTTTCGATTGGTTTAGGGTATTACTATAAATGGCTCTTTAAAGTAGGTGCATCTCCCGGTGGGAATAAAATAATTAGCAACATTAATCTAGATTTTAAAAAATTGCTGTCCTAAATTCATTTACTCAACTAGTCTTATTTCCTCCTCTTTCCTTTTAGCTACGCGTGTACAGATCAGATGATTAACCCAGTTCTCTTTAGTTTTAGGGGAATGGCTTGCAGAGCAGGCTTGTGCCCTTTCTGTTTCTGAGTGAGTAGCTTAGAAAAGGACATGTCTCAAACAATCACATAATTGGGGTGAAAGGGAGCATCTCGTGTTGTAACCATGAAGTTTGTTCCTTGTGCCGGGCTTTTCAATTGAAAGTTGTAGTTTTTGAGGTCTTGGAAGCTTACTTTGTAAAAAAGTATAACTTTGATTAAACATTCATTAGATGCCATCAAGTCGATTCCAACTCATAGCGACCCTACATACAACAAAACAAAACACTGCCAGGTCCTGTGCCATCTTCACAATCATTGCTATGTTTGAGCCTATTGTTGTAGCCACTGTGTCAGTCCATCTCGTTGAAGATCTTCCTGTTTTTCGCTGACCCTCTGTTTTACCAAGCATAATGTCCTTCTCCAGGGACTGTCCCTCCTGATAATACGTCCAAAGTATGTGAGATGAAGTCTTGCCATCCTTGTTTCTAATGAGCATTCTGGCATACTTCTTCCAAGACAGATTTGTTCGTTCTTCTGGCAGTCCGTGGTATATTCAATAGTCTTCTCTAACACCAAAATTTGAAGACATCGGTTCTTTTTTGGTCTTCCTTATTGTCCAGCTTTCACATGCTTATGAGGTGATTGAAAACACCATGGCTTGAGTCAGGCACACCTTAGTCCTTAAAGTGACATCTTTGCTTCTTAACACTTAAAAGAGGTCTCTTGTAGCAGATTTGCCCAATGCGGTGCGTTGTCTGATATATTGACTGCTGCTTCCGTGGGCATTGATTATGGATCCAAGCAAAATGAAATCCTTGACAACTTCAGTCTTTTCTCTGTTTATCATGATGTTGCTTATTGGGCTAGTTGTGAGGATTTTTGCTTTCTTTATGTTGAGGTGTAATCCATACTGAAGGCTGTGGCCTTTGACCTTCATCAGTAAGTGCTTCAAGACCTCTTTACTTTCAGCAGGCAAGATTGTGTCATCTGCATATCACAGGTCACAGGTTGTTAATGAATCTTCCTCCAGTCCTAATGCCTGTTCTTCATATAGTCCACCTTCTTGGATTATTTGCTGAGCATACAGATTAAATAAGTATGGTAAAAGAATACAACCCTGACATACACCTTTCCTAACTTTAAACCACGCAGTATTCCCTTGTTCTGTTCAAACGCCTGCCTTGGTCTAAGTACAGATTCGTCATGAGCACAATTAAGTGTTCTGGAATTCCCATTCTTTGCAGTGATACCTGTAATTTGTTATGATCCACACAGTCGAATGTCTTTGCATAGTCAATAAAACACAGATAAATATCTTTCTGGTATTCTCTGCTTTGCTATTTTCTGGTATTCTCTGACGTCAGCAATGATATCCCTTGTTATACGTCCTCTTCTGAATTTGGCTTGAATTTTTGGCGGTTCCCTGTCGGTGTACTGTTTTAACTGCTTTTGATTGATCTTCAGCAAAATTTTACTTGTGTGCGCTATTAATGATACTGTTCGATAATTTCCGCATGCTGTTGGATCTCCTTTCTTTGGTTGGAATGGGTACAGATAATGGATCTCTTCCAGTAGGTTGGCCGGGTAGCTGTCTTCCAAATTTCTTGGCACAGATAAGTGAGCAGCACTGGCACTGCATCTGTTTCTTGAAACATCTCAGTTGGTATTCTGTCAGTTCCTGGAGCCTTGTTTTTCACCGGTGCCTTCAGTGCAGCTTGGGCCTCTTCCTTCAGTACCATCGGTTCTTGATTATATGCTACCTCCTGAAATGGTTGAACATCAACCATTTCTTTTTGGTACTGTGACTCTTATATATTCCTTTCACCTTCTTTTGATACTTCCTTCATTGTTCAGTATTTTCTCTGTAGATCCTTCAATATTGCAACTCGAGTCTTGAATTTTTTCTTCAGTTTTTCAGCTTGAGAAATGCCGAGTGTGTTCTTCCCTTTGGTTTTCTATCTTCAGGTCTTTGCACATTTCATTACATATACCAGTATCAAATAGCAAGAAAAGAAATTTTATCCTAGTGATCTACCTTTGCTGATTCTTTTTGGGTACTATACTTTCAGTGATAGATCCACACATATTGGATTTATTTATATTTACTATGACCACAGTCAGCAGGAGACAGCAGGTCCACTGCACCCAACAGTGTCCCAGGCATGCAAGCTCAATAACAGAATTTCATGTACAGCCAAGTCTATTCTCCATGTCTCTTCTTTTGTCTAATACATAACCCTTTCCCAAACTTCCTCCTACTTTCCTGTAATGTACATTTAAGTAGACCACATGTTATTCCACCTCTGCTAACTCTTCACTGCCATATTACTTTTAACATCCTTATCATGAAGAGGGGAGGCAGTGGTGGTTCAGTGGTAGAATTCTTACCTTTCCTTGCAGGAGACCTTCCTGATTCGATTCCCAACCAATGCACTTCATGTGTAGCCACCACCCATCTGTCAGTGGAGGCTTGCGTGTTGCTATTTTGCTGAAAAGGTTTCAACAGAGTCTCCAGACTCTGGAGATCTACTTCTAAAAATCAGCCATTGTAGACCCTCTGGATCATAATGGTCTGATCTCATTGTGGATGGGGTTGCCATGAATCATGGGTCAGCTTGACAGCAGCTAACAACAACAACCACAATCATGAAGAGGATCCTGGTTGTCTGGACTAGCAGAAGTAGTGACCACAAGCAGTCCAGTCTCAGGTGGACTTTCTGCTCCATTTGGACAAGCTGCTACTCTGCCCTTGTCTCATTTTTTTCTTTTTTTTTACTGTTTCTGTACCACAGTGGCACTCAAAGTATGGTCTAGATAAATAAGTGAATATTATGCAGTCAGAAAGTAAGATCTAAATTAGTATCAGTTAAGAACACATGGAATTTCCCTCTGAGGTGGTGCCCATTTTTTTTTTTTTTAGTTTTTATTTATTTTGTTGTTGTTGAGAGTATACACAACAAAACATATACCAATTCAGCAGTTCCTACATGTACTATTCAGGGACATTGATTACATTCTCTGAGTTGTGCAACCCTTCTCACCTTCATTTTCTGAGTTGTTCCTTTCCATTAACATAAGTTCACTGTACTCTAAGGTTCCTATCTAATCTTTCTAGTTTCTGTTGTCAATTTGATCCCATCTAACCAAACTCACTGCCATCGCGTCGATTCTGACTCATAGCGACCCATAGGATTTCCAAGGCTGTAATCTTTATGGAAGCAGACTGCCATATCTTTCTCCCGTGGAGCAGCTGGTGGGTTCGAACCGCCGACCTTTTGGTTAGAAGCCAAGCTCTTAACCACTGTGCCACCAGGACTTCTTTATCCTATATAGATAGTTCTTAAAAGAGCATAATGCTCAAGGCAAGCATTGTTTACCAATTAAACTAAACTGTTGTTTGATTTTAAGAAGACTTCAGGGAATATTTTTGTTTAAGGTTTAAAGATTATCTCAGGGCAGTAGTTTGGGGCTATTTTCTTTATGATACATTTTAAATACATGCAGAATTTATGTTACTTAGGTTGTGTTTTAAAGAGTTTTTTACACTTCATAGAAAGAGCTTTCTAGAAAAATCTGAACACCATTTCTAAGGTATTTAGGCCACTAAAGTATCACTGAGATTATTTTGGTAAAGCCTTACTGACTTAATGAATGCTGTGTCAAAAAGGTACTGCTTAAATATATCCTACTGATTTATAAGAATATCGACATATCTTATAATAAAGCTTCTGGCAACTCAGAGTCAGTCTAGTGCAAAAGAAGTTTGTTGCATGATTCTGTAACATGATTTTGTCCTGTCCCTGTTATTGCTATGATTATTAATATTTTACCCCCCCCTTTTTTAAATAAAGTACAGCACACTGTCAGATTACAAGAAAAAGAGGTAGAATTTTTCAGTATGTATTTAATAATAATCTCAAGACTTTTAGACTTAAGAAATGCATATAGAGAATCTTGTTTTAGCATACGCATAATTAATATCTTCATGTATTTGCTATAAGATTTATTTACTGAAATTTTAGTTCTGGTTTTGTATTTACATTGAAATGATATGTTTGATGTTTATAACTATTAGAAGTCATCAAAAGTCATTTTTTCAGATTAACCCGTTTATTATTAATTAATTAATTGTATTAAATTTTTATTAATAAACTAAGAATTCAGCTTATAATTCCAGATTTTAAATTTGTGCTTCCTTCATAAGCGCCGGTCAAGATATCCAAGGAACAAGTGTGATTGCAAATCTTCCATATTTGATGCGACACAATCCTTCTGAGACACTTCGGAGAGTTTTGCCAAAAGTCAGAGTAAGTTGATATGAAATAAGATTTGAACTTTCAGTTTTCCTTCTGTAATGTTTTGTCATTGTGGGGAGAAAAAATTCAGAGCTTTTGATGGTTGATCTTTTGTACTTAATAATTGAGCGAAGGAAGTATTATGCACATTTTGGATTATGGTGAATATATGTAGAGAAAGTAGCTGATATGATCTTAAGTTGTGAAGATTTCCTTAGTCATTTTAATAAAGTTAGTTTTTCAGTAGCTCAGAAAAAATCTTACTTTTCTTACAAAATCATAGCTATTTTATTTGGCATTCTGTTGACTTAAATCTATATTAATAGTATTTCAACAACATCTGTAATATAATTTAACCGATATTCCTAATTATGATCCTGTAGTGACTTCTAAAGAATAATCAAATAAAGATTAAGTTAATAGTCATCATAATTTTAGTTTCAAATGTTTTCCTAAATTTCTTCAAAATTGGTTCTCCTGCTATGAACAAACATATTCTTTATACACAAAGTGCTGGTCTTTATTAGAACTTGAATGGACAAAACAGACAGCAGTCTCTGTGTGCTCAGGGAGTTTATTTCCTACTGGGGTCAAGGAGTTTATATGCTAATGGAGATTATGTGTGCCAATAGTGAATCTCATATACTTAGCTTTGGCTTTCTATTTGGTTATACATTTTTTCTTCATATATACATGCTTGTAATACTGTAATTATTAATGTGTTCCTGGGGTTATGGTTTATATTTAGGTGTATTTAGCATGGTTCCAGGAGCCCTGGTGATACAGTGGTTTAAAGCGCTCGACTGCTAACTGAAAGGTCAATGATTTGAACCCACCAGCTGCTCTGCGGGAGAAAGATGTGGCAGTCTGCTTCCATGAAGATTTACAGCCTTGGAAACTCTATGGGGCAGTTCTACTCTGTCCTGTGGGGTCGCTATGATTCAGAATCAACTCCACTGCAGTGGGTTTTAGAATGGTTCCAGTTACTGTGATTTATGCCTGAGATGTGTGTACCATGTTATTTTCAGAAGTTTCCCACATTTCTGTGCAGGCAATACGAATTTTTTTACTGGTTACAGTGCTGAATTGTGAAGATGTTTGGCATGTGATTCCAAAGTGAATCAAAAGGATATGGAAGTGTTATTTTCATTGTTGTAGAAATAAATATAACACAACATTTACTAATTTTATTTTTCCCAGAAGCATGCTGTAGTTTCAATGGAATTAAGCCTACACAGTCCAAGTTTAATTTCACATTCAACTTCAGTGATATTAGTGGACCTAAGCTTGTTTGGAGGACACCTGGAGTGTCAGTTAAACAGTCATAGAATAGAATAGGTGGTTAGGTCTTCTTGTCTAAGGAGTTAACATAAATAAGTGAATTAGATTTAAAGCTAAAAATATCGAGTATGCCATACACTCCGGTCAGCAAGCAAAATCTGGTGCACAAGCAGCATCTTGAATGCCCAGAGTTTCATCAGGCAAGAATAAAAGATGAGCGGTAGGCAGTGTGACCTTGGGAGGTCTCTAAATTATTTTGCAAAAATCATTTTGCTAATGGCTTCACAATAAAGGCAATTAAATAACAACTCCTAAAAGACATTAATTTCATGGGATTGTATAAATTTCCCGGCAGCATCTTTGTACAAAGAATCAATTGTATCTTCTGAAACTATAAGGTATGCCTGAGTTATAGAAGGGAGGATTTTAATAAGCCTTTAAAGTAATTAAGATTAATCTGTAATGCAGAAGATTGAATAAATGAATGGATATAAAGAAAATACATAGTAATGAAAATGTACTAAGAAGATCTTTATTGTTGACTTAGTCAGTTCTTCAGTTAATCAACAAGTCACCATTTACTCAGGAGCTACATTTATAAAGTAGAAGATAGTCCCAGATTAGGTTCTGTATTAGGAAGGTCTAAAGGCTATGGAAAAAAAAAAAAAAAAGGCATAGGACAGTATTTAATTGTGTGATTCTGACATATGTAAAAATGCTGAAGAATTACGCAAACGAGAGGGACTTTAAGGGGGCAACTCAATAAGGACTTTTATAGAGAGTCATATATAAGGTAGGTGGCTAGACATTGAAATAACTTCATTTCAAATTATAAGACTTCTATGTTCAAATCATTTTTAAATCATTGTGGTCAGATATTGTTCAGATTTATTGGTACTCATGGTTAGCACCTTCTTTAATTCTGCCTTGCTTTTGTGAGTGTTTACTTTCAAGTGATAAACCATGACAGGATCTCAAATAGCCACTTTATTCACTTTTGCGATGGCCATTGTTTCTTAGTTAACTTTATAGAAAAGCAATCTCTTGTCCCAAAATAAGCATTTAGTAATAATGACATTCTCATTCATTCGTAAATATTTACTGAGTGCTTCCCATGTTCCAGGCACCGTGCTAAGCATAGGAAAACAGAGGTACAAAACAGACAGGGAACTTGCCCTAAAGGAGATTAGAGTCTAGGGGGGAAACAGACATTAAACAAGTAAACCACACCCACACACACACAAAAGAAAGTTATCATTGTAATTTGTGGTAAGGCCTGAGTGTGAGGAATAGGAGATATGAGGTTAAGGAATGAGGGGGGCCAGTGGAAGGAGCCCTGGTGGCACAGTGGTTAAACTCTAGGCTGCTAACCGAATGGTTGGTGGTTTGAATCCACCAGCTGTTCTGCAGGAGAAAGATGTGGCAATCTGCTTCTGTAAAGATTTGCAGCCTGGAGGCAGTTCTACTCTGTTCTCTAGGGTCCCTATGAGTCGGAATTGACTCCATGGCAATGAGTTTGTTTTTTTTACTTTATTTACTGTGCTTTGGGAGAACAAGGACAGCCTCTTTGAGGAGATGACTTTCAAGTTGAAAACTCAAGGCATAGGAGGAAGCTGCCATTTCAAGAGCTGGGGAATGAGTGGTCTAGGCAGCAGATAGACCGAAGGTGAAAAGAGCTTGGTGGAACTGAAAGAAGCAAGTATGGTTGGAATCCAGTGAATGGGGGTGGTTAAAGAGGTGCAGGGGCCAGAATCTGCAGGAGTTTAGTCTCATCCTCAGGATGGTGGAAGGCCATTGAAGACTTTTAAGTAGGGCGTGACATAATCCCATTAATGTTTTTAAAAGATTATTTTGATTATTATGGATCAGAGTATGGCGGTTAGGAAGCTATAGCACTAGTCTAGGGATAGTGGCTTGGAATGGGACAGCAAATTAGGACGGTAGAGAGAAGTGGTTGTTTCTGAGATATCTTTTTTGAGGCAGAATGAGCAGAACTTCATAATGGATTGGATGTGGGGAGGGAGGGAGAGCAGCAGTAGTAGTGACTTCCAGATATCTGCCTTGAGCATCCATGTGGTTCTGCTGGTTTTCAACATCTTAGTAAAGTCCAGTTGTCTATGAATGATTTACTTTTAGACTATTTAAAGATACAAGCATAAATATTTTACACAAGAAGTTAATCATTCCCAAGATTCTTACACATTCATAACAATAGTTTAACGAGATCTCAGATCTCGCCCTCTACCTTGTCTTTATTAAAGCTCATCTGAGTAAAGTGATGTTGAAGATTTTTCTCACCTTGCCTATTATATGATTTTACCAGGGATATTTTTATTTCCATTAATTTCATCCTATTAGCTGACAAATGGTTTTTTAAAATAGGTTGTTATTTTCACTATTTCGTAGATGAAGGTTAAACATAAAAATAGCAGAAACAGAGTTAGGATTAGAACTGAGCTGATCATAGTATTTCTACAGTTTGCTTTCTAAATTATATCCGAAGCAGAAAGCGGATGATAATGCGGTTAGGTCACTCATCTCATTGACTTTAAGTAAGAATCTAAAAGAGAAATATTTTGATCTCCAATATAAACTCCTAAATATGAAGATACTTTTATTATAATCATGCTATACCATTTAATCCTAGGGTATCCTTTGAAAAAGAAAGAAATTTTTTCCGTAGTCTTCAGTAAGTTTAATTATTTTTTCACGATATATTAAATTGAAATCTTAGATGCTAGATTTGAATATTTGATTTGAGCTTCTACTTACCTAGAAGTGAAATAATTTGATTGTCAAGATAAATTTCTAAGATACTGCGATCCTTTATAGAATTGAAAATACTAATGATATAACTATACTGTGCAGCATTGGTGACTCCTTTAACAAAGTGCAGAAAGGTCTACCCGTTAAATTATCGAATCCATTTAATTTTTTTTTCACTTATATTTTGGGAACCAAACTATATGAAATAAAGATTATAGAAAATTTGCGATATCAAGCACTGATAAAATAGCTATAGCTTACATTTTTTGAGGCCTTACTATGTGTAAGGCATTGTACTTTGTGAAACATTTTATACATTTTCATCTCAGAGCAAAGTCACAAAGCTAGCAAGTGGTATTAGGTTTTAACCAGGCAGTCTGATTCTTCAGTCCTCCTTCTTAACTGCTGTATAACCTCTTTATAAACTGCTCATGGTTTTAACAGATATGTAATGTGTAAGTTTACTCTCAAGCCTTAGTCAACGCTTCTTCATTGGACCTATTGCTTCTGTTTTTGCCTCTATAGCCCAACCAGCCAGAGAGATCCTTAAAAGCTTCGATCATAGCTTATCACCCTCTTGCATGAGAATTACTTAAGTGATATGGTAGGCAAAGTAATGGCCCTCAAAGATATCAGGTCCTTATCCCTGGCACCTGTAAATATTACCTTACTGAAAAAAGGGCCTTTACAGATGTGATTGAGTTATGGCTCTTAAGGTGGAGAGATTATCCTGGAGTATCTGGGTGGGTCCTAAATGCTCTCACAGATATCCTTATAAGAGGGAGACAAAAAGAGACTTGACACACACAGAGAAGAATGTAACGTGCAGATGGAGGCAGAGAGTGGAGTGAGACGGTCACAAGCCAAGAAATGCTAGCAGCCACCAGAAGCTGGAAGAGACCAGGAACGGATTCTCCCCTAGAGGCTCCAGAGGGAGTGCGGCACCGCAAGCATCTTGATTTGGT